CATCTCGGCTTCGGTGATTGGTTTAGGCTGTGGTTTGTCAGGCTCGGGCGTAGTAGCCGTAAGGCGCCTGACCGGCACGGGATGCAGGTGGCCCCGCTGCGGGTGGCCCCGCAGAGTGACCACGTTCTCGATCGAGTTGCCGATTGGCATCTGGTGGAAGTCGGGAGCGAAGTAGCGCAGTGAGGTAGGAGAGAGCGTCTCGAGCTCGCGGGTCGCCCCGCTAGCCCGATCGCGGACTGGCTCCGCTCCTCGCAGAGCCGGCGCAACATGGTATTCCACCGTAGTAGTAGTCCACCAAGTTGTGCCGTGGATGATGGGTATTAGAGCGAGAGCCAGCCACACGAGAGTGTAGCCAGCTCCGCTACAAAGTCGAAAACGCACTGGTAAGCCAAGGTATATGTTCCGCCTTAGGCGCTCCCATATCCCAGGCTTTGGCTCATACCGCATGAGCAAGAGAGCAAGATGAAGCATGGGATCTGGAGTAAAGGATAGAAGGGGCATCTTCAATAGAAACGTCTTTTCCGATCTCAGATGCGAGTAGTGCGCCTCGGTGAAGCACAATCACATGTTCGGCCGGGCCCGGCTTGAGCCAGGCACGGCAGCGGTGCATGCTCGATTTACATCTCGCCTTTAACCCTCTCCGTTTAAAGTGCGGAATGTCTAAAACGTCTCTTCATGCAACATCTCTTCAAGCCCGCAAGGTGGACGACCCGGGAGAGCAAAGGCAGCTAGATGTCTGCAGAGAGCCCAAGAAAGCCCAAGATGCCGTTCACAATGTCGCAGTATAGCTCAGGATGGACCAAGGTGCCCCCCACAATGTCTCCAAGAGGCCTCAAGACGACTGCCCCAAGACGGCTTCAAATGGCAAAAGAGACTAACAATGGTGCTCCGAGGGGGCCGAGACCAATTGAACGCGCATGGAAGCACCAAGAGGCTCTGCAGTATCGTCCTTTCGCTCTCGATGGGCTTCTGGGGCATTACGATGGCCTCCGAATGCCGCAATCTAACCCCAAGAGGGGACCGAGAGGGGTCTTACACGGCCCCAAGAGCACCCAGTAAAGCCCCATTAACGCCCAAAGAGGGCCCCAAGAGGCGACCCTTAGACTGAAGCAGAAGGGACGCTCCTTGAGGGCCCCTTCTTTGACAAACAAAAAAAAGTGGACACGCGCACAAGGTGTCTGAATGACGTTGGCCTCTATGGGGGCATCAGTGGGAAGCTGTTGGGCCAATATGGCTCCAACATGACCTCGGAGAGCTCAAAATTACCTCTAAGATGACACACGAAAGCCGAAGATGATTCAAGACTGCTCTCATCAAGCCCCTCAAGACGGCGCAATACTGGTCCAAGACGACCCCGAGTGGCGACGGAGCCTCCCAATGATGCGTCCGAGAGGCCAACATCCTTTCGACACCTGAGGGGATCACATGCATAGTCGTGTTATCGCCCTTTCGATGTCGATCGTCGTTCGAGGCCTCAATGTGATTCCGTTAGGGTCCAAGAGGACTCCAAGACGGACCCTCAAAGCACCCACGAGCGCCCCGAGAGGGCCTCCAGCGGCGTTGCTTGAACTCAGGAGGGTCGACGCTACTAAGGACCACCCTTCTTTGATCGACGCCGAAGATGGCCCCGAGATGGGGCCTTCAAAGGGCCACAAGTTGGCCCCTAAAGATACCAACATGTCCCCACAAGGGCTCCACGATGGCTCCGAGAGGCTACCAATCGGCCCTTAGATCGAAAGATCCGCGAGGGTCTGCATGGTTAGCACCTGCCGTCGTCGTCGTCGTCGTCGTCCTCTTCCCCTCATCCTCGTCCTCGTGAACGTCGTCGTCGTCCTTGTTAACGTCGTCGTCGTCGTCATCGTCGTCCCCCCTTCCTTCTCCATCCTCCTCCTGCTCCTCGTCTTGCTCATCATCTTCTTCCTCTTCCCCCTCCTCCTCACCTCCGGGTTCCTCCTCTTCCCTCCTCGTCGTTCCTCCTTCTACTTTCTCCGCATCCTCCTCAAAGACGACGCCAGGAGGAGGATCAATCCGGGCGAAGATAGATCCAAGATCCCTGAGGTCTGGCGGGTCTGGAGGATGTCTCGGGCGTCGCGGCCTTCTCAGAGCGTTCCGGAACGCTCTGAGAGCGTTTCGGAAATCTCTGGAACGGATTTATCCTCGTCCTATCCCCGTCCGATCCTCCCTCTTCGACTGCAGGCTCGGCAATTCCACTCCTGGGTGTGCCCAGGCTGATTCCAAGCTTTGGTTTTGAGGGCTGGCTCATCTGCCCGTTTCCCCGGATGCTCCTGCGCCTCCCTGATCGAGGCAAACTCGTCTGGTGCTAGCTTCCGGACGAGCTGGTGGGGACACTCGAAGCGTCAATACTACAGAAATACTGCAGGTTCACGCGGCGCCGGCGCACACAAAAGTTTTAGACACCGCCTCGATCGTTCAGCCTTGAACCTATCGCGGTCCTGATCGCTCCAGGGTGAACTCCGTCGGATCCTGTGGCGTTGCCGTGCCCCTTGGAGCTTCTGCGTCGACCTATCTTGCGGAGTTCAATCTTGAACGCCTTCGCAAGCGTTGCCGGCGCGCCATCGCCGCATGAACCTACAGTACTGATATAGTTTCTGGATGGGCTGGTGGACACCAGCCCATCGACGCTTGTAGTATCGACGCTTGGAAATCTGAAACTATATCTGTAGCATCGGCGCTTGGTGTATCCCCACCAGTGGGGATACTCCGAGCGTCGATGCTGCGGATATACCACGCACGTTCGCTGGGCAGAGCTTGCACTGAAAGGGTCTCGCCTACGGGTCGTTCAGTGATCGGTCGAGTGTTCCGGGTGCTCGGTTGGTGTCCGCCCGTGGGCACCTCGTGGGCGCCCCGAGCCCTGGGGGGGTATGCCGAGGTTTCGCCTGGTGCCGCCCGTGGTGGGCTTGTTTTCCACCGCCACCACCACAAGTAGGAGTGGGACTGAGTGGGGGGGGGGTCTTCCTCCTCCTCCTCCTCCTCCTCCTCCTCCTCCTCCTCCTCCTGTTCCTCCTCCTCCTCCTCCTCTTCACCTCTTCTCCTTTCCTCCTCCTCCTCCTCCTCCCCCTCCTCCTCCTCCCCCCCCTCCTGCAACTTCTGGTGTTGGTGGTGGTGGAAGAGAGGCCCAGCAGCCCATAAGCGCCTCATAAGCTCTGCCGAGGCTTCGCCTGGTGCCCGCTCGCGGGTGCCCCGCGGGTGAGTGATGTGCGGAAGTGTCGCCTGGGGCTATGTGCTGCTCCCATCGTGCTCTGAAGGGCCACATTCCAAAAATAATTTCGAGCCCCCGGAACAGTGCCGAAACAAGTGTCGAAACAGTGTCGAACGAGTATCGTCCAGGGCCCGACACGTGAAGACCCTAGAGTTTCGGTACTCTCTTGGTGCTCGAAATTCTTTCTGGTGGTTCAGGCTGGTGGGAACACCGACAGCGTGCCAGTGGGCGCCTGGTGGGAACACCGACAGCGTGCACCACGTGGACTGCACAATACATCGTGCATCACAGTCGTCGTGTATCACCACGCACACATAGCCTGCACGCCACAGCGTGCACCACATAACTTGCATCAAATGGTTTGCACCACGTGGTCTGAACCACACAGCTTGCACGACGCAATTTGCACCACGCATATGGCACCGCATAGCTTCCACACAGCCGGCACCACAATTTGCACCACATAGCTTGCACCACATAGGTGCACCACCTGTTTTACACATCCACCGTGCAGTAACTTACCGTTTAAGGTTCACTCTGGTCAGAGTGCTTTCATACATATTTACAAGGGGTAGAGAGATGGATAATGAGAGAGCGACAGAGATCATGGGAGAGAGATAGGGGTCGACAGAGAGGACAAGAGACAGATGACGAGGATGTGCGAGCGGAGAGCGGAGGCGCAGGAGGGCATGAAGGGTATCAAGGATAGACGGGGGAGTGCAGAGGTCAAGAGCGACGGATAACGATTATGAGAGGCGGGAGCGTTTGAGGGAGGAAGAGGAGGGAAGCGGCGGAACGAAACGGCCGAAGGCGGCAGTTGCAGGAGGAGGAGGAGGAGCAGGAGGAGGAGGAGGGAGGAGGAAATAGGACAGGGATGGGAGAGGCGGAAGGCAGGGAATTGGAAGGAAGCAGGGGGCTGGAGGAAGGGAAGGTGGAAGAGGGACAGGGAAGACGGGCGGAGGTGAGAACAAGGAAAAAGGGCCGCCTGACATCTGACATCTTGTCCCTCCCTCCCAGCCCGTCCCATTGCGCTGACCTTTTTCTATGATATCCGCGGACGCCTGCCATAGCCGGCATGCAACTCCACCAGACAAAACAAAGTATCGTGTTATGCGCAATGGGAACAGGGGAGGTGCGTGCACGAAGGAGGCGGGGGAGGCGGCGGTTGAGCAGGAGAATGAGCAGGATGAGGTGGAGTAAGGAAGGCGAGAACGAACATCAGCAGAGGGAACTGGAGTGGAAGGAGCGGGGGGAACAAGAGGACCAGATGGCCAGGGCAAGGCGGAGGAGGGGAAATGAGAGAAGGGGGGGACAAAGATGAAAAATCTAGGATCCAGAAAAGTGGCCCACGCTGGGGCGAGCTCGCCATTCTGAACGACGGGAGCAAACCGCCGGCGGAACCAATCGGATTGCAAAACAAGAACTAACTTGCCCACATCATGCGCGTTAGGAACAATACGCGGAGGGAGGGCTGACAGTCTCAGCACATCTTAGGGGAGAGAGGACGGAGTAGTGTACATTTACATGTGTTCTCTTGTACATGGCGCAGAGGGGGCGACGGAGAATAGCTAGGAGGGATGGCAGCCAGATGGGCGGGAGGGCGAGGGGCGCGGAACGGAAGGGAAACAAGGGATCAGGAATGGGGTGAGGGGCTGAGGGATGGGGAGAGGGAAGAGAGGGAGCAGACGTGACAGCGAGGGAGGGGGACGGGAAGCAAGGAGGGAGGAGAGTGGAGGGAGGAGAGGGGGGCAAGAGGCGAGGGGGAAGGAAATCCCCAACGCCTCTGGCATCATCGTGCGCCGTGTGCTCGCAAATGTCCGGATCACACGGCCCATCGCCCTCGTCTCGCCAGCTGCCACGCACGCGCTGATCGTGCGGAGAGTCTGGCTCAGCTGCTCAATGAGGAGTGTCTTCGGGTCCTTTGGCGGCTCCTTCTTCTCTTCCTTCTTAGCGCCATCGTCCTGTGGAGGGCTGGAGAGACATAACACATTTTACACCGCCCGTTGTCGCTGCCTCGCTCGAGCACTCAGTCGGGGCTGATCAGGCGAAGACCTCACTTCACCACTCCATCGACCGCCGCGGCAGACAAACGACACGGTGGTTCGAACAGACACAAGAAAGTGACGCCCCAAGGAGTAGGGGCGGGGTGAGTAGGATGAGTAGGAGCACGGTGGCCATCAGGAGGATGGTGACGACGGTGGGGATCAGAATGACGATTCGGAACAGGATGAGGACGGTAAGGGCGGTGGGGATCAGAAGGACGGTGACGACGATGAAGACCAGGAGGACGGTGAGGAAGAAGATGAGGACGTAAAGATCAGGAGGAAGAGAAGCAGGACGGTGACGATCCAGGGGAACTGCATGAGGTCGGCAAGGATCGGGAGGAGCAGGAGGAGGGGGAACAGGAGGAATAGGAAGAGTATGAGGAGGGGCACTGGGAGTAGGACGAGTAGGAGGACGGTGAGCATCAGGAGCAAGATGAGGAGGGTGAGGGTCATGAAGACGAAGCAGGATCAGTATGAGGACGGTGAGAATGATGAGGATCAGGGAGAGACGGTAAGGACGATGAGGATTATGAGGACGGTGAGAACCAGGATGAAGACGGCAAGGATCAAACTTAGCAAGGTGATGACTGAGGATCAGGAGGATGTGAATGAGGACGGTGAGGATGAGGAGGAGCAGGAGGAGGAGGAGGAAGAGGATCAGTAGGGCGAGCAGGAGGAGGGATACGATGAGTAGGGTGAGCCAGAGGGCGGTGACGATCAAGATGGCCGTGAGGACGGCGATGCTCAAAAGGGCGAAGAGGGTCATAATGAAGGCGGTGAGGACTCTGAGGATCAGGATGGTGGTGACAACGGTGAGGATCAGGAGGGCGGTGAGGATCAGGGTGAGGACGGTGAGGATCAGGAGGAGCAAGATGCGCTCGGTGCCCCGAAACGCCCGACGCGCGGCCCGCGAAGCGCGTTGGCCCGTGATCACGGCGCGACGCTATCTCCTTCCAGCGCAACGCTTCACTGCGACGGCGTCGGCAACCTGGCGAAATGCTCGCCGAGCAACGCGCGATGCGCCGCGTGCGCGCGGGAGCAGCGCTCTCCGCTCTCCGCTCTCCCGGGGCAAAGTGGCTACCATCGCTGGCGGGTAAGCCCGGAATGATAAAGCGCGGCATGGGCGACGGCCCAGTCCTGAAGGTGCCCGACGCGCCCGAATAACGCGTGAAGGTGCCTCCTCAGATCACAGCGGGCCCATGCGGAACATACGTCGCGCCGCGGCTTCGCCGGCTCGCATATCGCGCAGAGAGCAACGCAATATTAGCGACGCTATCTTCGCAAGGCTCCATCTCGGTGAACCAACACTGGCGGTTGTATGGCATCTTTTTGGATACTGATGCGGATGCTGCAAGTACAAGTACGCATTGCAGGGTTTGCGCTGTTATGAAATCGCAAGACAGCCTCAGAACCCAGGACCCCGTTCCCACATGACCTTTTTCCCCAATGGCGACGAGCTGCATGCGCCCGTCGTCGGCCATGGGTGCCAGGATAATCCTGTCCATTTTGGACAAGTCTGGCTCCTTTGGGTTGCGCCGTGCCACCGTCTCAAGCTCGTAGACCCAGCGTGCCATGTGCTCGGCCACCGCCAAGTTAGCGTCGTCGAGTTGATAGAGTGGTCGAGGCCCTCGCAGACGCGGCGATGCGTGCGACACACACACACAAACACAAACACAAACACAAACACACACACAAACACACACACACACGACGCCCCGCTGACACGACCCCCGACTGGGTCCTCCGGTCGAGGTGGTGGGTGACGAAGACGACGCACGAAACCACGAGCGACATCGCCAGCTCGGGCGCCGCCTTGGCGCCTCGGAAAGGCCAACCAGGCCTCTGAGACTTCTTGCTGATCTTGGCGGCGGGCGACAGCAAGAGCACAGAAACGCCGTTGTCGCGCTCGTCGCCCAGAAGAGGCCTGTCTCGACCAGCGCATGCCGCTTCGAGAAGGGCCACGTATCGGTGTCGGCGTCGGCCACACGATCGACCACGACCCTTCGACCCAGAGCACGCTGGAGCCCCCCTGATCACGAGCGCCTCCGGGTCGGCCAACGCGGCCACTGGGAGGGCGTCGTCGACGCCCATGTGCGCAGGGTCGGCGATCAGCCAGCGGCCGACCTCGGGCTGCGCGTCGACGGCACCCGTGAGACCGTACACGGCCAGTAGCTCCTTGGCATTCCGGCGGACCTGGACGAGCTCCTCGGCCGTGAGCGGGTCGAAAGCGTAGACCTCGCCGCGCACACGGCGCGGGAACTCTGCATCCCTGATGAGCGGGATGACCCTGTGGGCGGGGACTCCCAGGGACTGGATGCTGAGGTCGGGAGTAGCGCAGATATCCACTGCCCAGGACTGGGCGTCGCCAGCAATAGCAGCCGCATGTGCCATCGAAAGCCTTTCGGGCCGTCGAAGATGTCGACGAAAATATGGCGCTCTGGGACGTGCAGCGTCCGCGCCGCCATGCCTCCTTCTCGACGACGACGGGGTAGCCTCGCTGCTGCGCGAGGCGGGCTGCGCATCGGCATGGGTCGCGGCCGGAAACGCCCCCAGCGCAGGCAGGTGGCGCCGGGCCGCCACGAGGGCCACAGCGCGGCACGGGAGGCGGCACGCCACGGCAGGCAGCACGCCGAGCGCCAGGCCGAAGAGGAAGAAGAATCAGCCCCAGCACTTTGGATGCCCGACATGGGTACAGTTGGGGGTCGCTGGGGGGGCAGCGTTGTTTCGAGGGCCAGATCCCCGTACGCTCGGCGGGCGCGCTTGATCGGTCAACGGCAATCCTTCCAGCCGCCCTTCGCGAGAAGCTCTGGTTTCAGGTTTGCTCTTGCCGACGATTGGGCTGCTCATGCTTGCTCTTGCCCAACAGAAGCATTGCCCTCTCCCCCGTCGCCCCAGAAACACAGATCGCGTGTGCTGCCCCTCAGCGAGCTTCAAGGTACAGGAACAAAAATACGATGCCCAATAATGAAGGTTGAACTGAGCCGACAACGGCCGCCGTTGGGCAGGCGGCCAGATGGCTCCCATGGACGACGTCCTCGGCGACATCGACAGCGAATCCGGTCCACAACGGACAGGAACTGCTCGCGGTCTTCGTATCCTTTCTTCCCGTACCCACTTCGATCGTGCTCCAGCACGCGCAGGGTTCGGGCTGGCCGCAGCCCCGGGCCGGCGCCGCCTCCGGCGCGGGCCCAGCAGGGGCGGCAGCGGCCACGGGCGAGGCCGCCAGGGTGAAGCCTGCTCCTGGGCGGCCGGGGCACGCAGGGGCCACGGGGCACGCGACCTCTGCGCAGGCCAGGCTGCAACCTGGGCAGGCAGGGCACGCGGTCACCGGCGGGCAGCGGCCAAGGTAGCCCACGGCGAGGCTGTTCCCGACATCGGCCCGCCGGAGCCTCGTTTCAACGAAAGGGCGAAAACCTGCGATGGAACTGACGTGAGCAGTCGCCCTCGAGTCCGAAGCAAGAGATGCCAGAGACAAAACGTAAAGATAGATGTGTATGTATACATATACCTACATATGTGATACACATACATTGGGTGGATTGGAAACCTTTGGTCTTTAGGAACGCGGAAATCAGGTTCATCCGAACATAGTTCGTTTTCTCACCCCATCGCGGCCGATTCGTCTGAACTTGTCCGTTCTCTCACCATGCAACGCGGCCGATTCATCTGAACTTGTTCGTTTGCCCAGCCCCAAAAATGAACGGTTCACTTCCCCATCCCTCTAAAAAATGAACGGTTCATTTCCCCGACTCCGAAAAATGAACGGTTCAATGCCGCAACCTCTAGAGGCAAGGGTAGTTCATGAACGGTTCGTTTCCCCCCAACATGAACGGTTCAGATCTCCATTTCCCACACGCGCACACACATTCACATAATGTATTGTATGTATGTATATATTTTCTGTGTGTATGTGACATAATGTGTTTGTATGCAAACACACACGCACGCACGCACGCACGCACACGCACAGACACACGCACGCACGCACGCACGCACACGCACAGACACACGCACGCACGCACGCACGCACGCACGCACGCACGCACGCACGCACGCACGCACGCACGCACCTGCGCGCGCGCACACAAGCACACACAGCACCGCTCACGACAACGGCACACACACTCCACACACACACCCAACACAGGACCAACCCACACACACACACACACACACATTCAAGAGATCCGACGCATGTTGAGTCCGACCCAAGTGGGCACGCGGCCGGCGCGCGCCGCATTTCTGCTCGTGCGCAGCTCCCGTCGCGTACACCCACGCTCCGGACTGCGCGCCCAGGCAGCGATGCTCCTGGGTCGCCTCCCCTCGGAGCAGCCGCGCGTCGCCGGACGGCCCGATGCTCCCCCCCCCCCCCCCCCCCACCCCGGCCCTGCCTGTTGCCTAGGTCGAGTCGCCGAGTCGATTCTCGGCCAAAAAACATGATGGACCCACGAACCCGGAAAGGGATAAAGACATGTGCAGCATGGTCACGTGTTCACGATACCCAACTGGGCGACATCTCACGAAACATCCCACGAGACACCCCGCGAAACATCCCACGAGACACCTCACGAAACATTCCACGAGACACCTCACGAAACATTCCACGAGACACCCCGTGAAACATTCCACGAGACACCCCACGAACAGGCAACCACTCAACCAGACACGCCACGAAACATTCCACGGGGGTGCGATTGGGTGTGGTCGTGCTGGGGTGTGGTCGTGCTGGGGTGTGGTCGTGCTGGGGAGTGGTCGTGCTGGGGTGTGGTCGTGCTGGGGGGTGGTCGTGCTGGGGCGTGGTCGTGCTGGGGCGTGGTCGTGCTGGGGTGTGGTCGTGCTGTGGTGTGGTCGTGCTGGGGTGTGGTCGTGCTGGGGTGTGGTCTTGCTGGGGTAGGGTCGTGCTGGGGTCGGGTCGT